AATATGCATTTGCGAAAAGGTCAACAGAATGTAACACTCAGCTTCTATACCATCGACACATTGGTTTCAGCTGAAATTATAAAATACTGCTTTGAGTTTGCTTATTGTTTCACGCGGCGTCTGAATCCAAATATAATTATTCGGCAAAGTACATTACTCCAGCCGCCTTTCCAACAATTACATCACATTTATTACGTGTAATTATGGTCACTTGTGGAATCCTAATAGAATAAATTAGCGGACATGGCTTTGTTGTTACGGAGTAAGTAAAATGTGGCCAAAAGCAAACGTTACGTAAATTGTTATTTTGTGTTGTTATCTGTACAGAGAGTCGACGTAAAGTGAAAGATTTAAGCGGTCTGCCTGTCGCTGGGACAGGAGGCCAGGTCACTGAGTGTGGGGGTGTTGTGTGAGCTTGTACTGTACTTCTATGCTCCCGCATCTGCGCTCCCCGCCTTCGCCAACCGGGGCCGATCAACGCGGCGAAGTCCAGACAAAGACTCCCTCGCGACTAACCGCACACGCGGAGCGGCGAGGCCCTCATCCAGCAGTGGATTGGCAAAGGGGCTGTTTGTGAGGATAATAACAATTCAAGTTGTACGTATGTTGAACTTCTTTCGCACCGTACGTAGCCAACCGTGCTCATCGGAAGTTCTGCGCCTACGGTATTCCGGGATCCGATGCGATGGGGCACATTCAGGGCGATTTGGTCACAATGCCAACTTCATTATCAAATAATTACCGCATTTACATTGAACTACAGTCACCCCGATATGCTTTAAAGAAAAGGCTATGGATTTTGATGGGTGCTGACCTAGTTAAATGAAGCACGCTGATTCGTGTTGACGTGATAGTGTGGTAAGGGCTACAGAAATACAACAGACACTATTGCCATGACTGCGGCTACTGCTGCGACATTTTCATAAGTAAATTGTTTTCCGTGCGATGGTGAACGAGGAGTGCAACAATCCACCTCACCCAGCGAATCATCACGAATCTGAGCCACCTGTGGATCCCAGAATCAATGATTGCTTGGCCTCCTGTGCCGTGTCTAGAATTGTTGTTCTTCCGATCTCGTTTGTAGTTATGTTTTACTGCCTGAGCCTGAAAGTTGCCGTGGAATTCGATGTGCGTACACATTTGCATTAATAGTGAAAGTTTGGTTCCGTCACGCGCGATTTTTTTTCGCATGCGTGCGTCATCAGCGTAGGAATCGACTCGGGCAAATCTACCCATTGATTTGCCTTCCGACATCCTTCCCCCATTCCCACCCAGATTTTCCGAGGAAGCAAATAGGTTGGCACATTTGCCCACGCGACAATTTGATTGGCTGTTGGGGAGCGGAGAGTTATAAACACATTCCTCCTGCGGAGGGAGCTGGTAGGAACGTTGGGTTGCTCGGTCAATGGCCAGGGTCAACGGCGGCGTGGTGTATTCCGCAAATATGCCCGACTGTGAGGGCGGGCACAAGCCGGCGTGAGTAGGTTAAACGTTGAGTTTTATAAGGGCACCACGGGGTGACTAGCCCCTCCCCACCCAGCCCCACCTCTCCCACCCAGCCCCACCCCATCCTCCCCACCCAGCCCCTCCCCACCCTCCCCTCCCCACCCAGCCCCACCCTCCCCACCCAGCCCCTCCCCATCCTCCCCACCCAGCCCCTCCCCACCCAGCCCCTCTCCACCCTCCCATCCCCACCCAGCCCCACCCTCCCCACCCAGCCCCTCCCCACCCTCCCTCCCCCACCCAGCCCCTCCCTCCCCACCCAGCCCCTCCCTGCATGACGGACGGACACAATAATCCCCTGTGGGCTGGTGTAACCAGGAGGTTCCTACCAGTATTAAATGTTGGCGTTGTGCATGCACGGCGATATCATTGATCGCAGGTAGCCGTGTGCATCTTTACAAATATTTCCTTGTTGTTTGAAACTCACGGTTTTCCAGGGCACACTATTATTTTACTATGATATGTTTTCTCATAGTTTTAACATATTGTATTCGCAGGCCCATTGTTGTCTGACTTTACGAAATAAACAGTGGTGTGAGTCTGTTAGGTGAGCAATTACCATTGGCGCCGATATCATTTTTAAAAGCCAAAGGTGCAGCTCTGAAATTGCCTGCTCACGCCACTGCTGGCGGACGAGACTTCACCAGAGCGAGCTTCGGAGAGGGAGGGCACGTGCTCTTAATCACCGAGCTCGTTGTTTAGAAACTACTTTGTCGGGAAAGTTGAATATTTCTTGAAAAGCGAGTGATCAACGATCATCACGATGTAGGGGTACGTGTGCCCATCGTGGACGAGTGACGGCGGCATCCTTCTCGCGGCGCTCCGCTCCGCTGTGTCCTCCCGAGTCGCCTTGAACACGACCCAAAGACGTCGTCCTTGGACGTGGCTCATCGGAGCCACGGGCCGCCGCGTCGCCGGGCCAACTCGCACACCCCGCGTGACATTCGCACGCACACGGGCAGCTTTCGTAGCTTCATCGTGACAATAAAACAAAACAAAGGACGGCGCTCAAAACAAAACTGCGCGCTCAGGCGAGCGGGAGCCATAGGTTTCTTCCCGTTGGTCTCCATCGCAGAAAATGAGCGTCACGTGCCCATGCGCGTCTGTCGCAGCAATTCGCAGCGACGTAACGACACGCGATCACTGCATTGAGCACGTGGGGTTTTGTCTACGTTTTTTAAACACAACGTTCAAACAGCAATGTGCACGTATACCAACGAGCGGCAGGACGCGTGCCGGGCGGGGTGAAGTGTGGGTCCTCCCACCGCTTCTAAGACGTCTGGCTAGTGTGGAAGATTAGGCCGCAATACTCTCACGAGGGAGCTCACGGTAGGATATTTTGGAAGCCCTTGAGCTCGCAGTGGCATAATTAGAAAAATTATCGGTCTGCAACTTGACCGTTTACACTGTGGTCACGGGCAGTCTTTTTCTTTGTAAATCTTTGTATTAAAGCGTGTGTGTGTGGGCGCGTGGTGCCTGTAATTGCAATGGAAAAAACAAACAAATTGATACACAGCGGTTTATTTGTTATTAAAGTTCCTTGTGTGTTTTCATTTAAATAAATACACCACTCATCTTTGTTACATAATTTACTCTATCGGCCGGTCCACAACGCTTGTTGCATTTAAATAACGTAAACGTACTCTCTGTGTGGTGTGTGTGTCGTGTGAGCACGCGTGCATGTACTACTGTGGTTTGCACGCTCGTTAGCACAGCACACGTAATAAACGTTGCTCTGCCCCGTGGCAGTCAGTGGCAGTCAGTGGCGCGTGTTCTTTGTATTTCAAAGAGTCCTCTTTTTGCCCGCTTTACAATCGACAATCGGGCGAGTCCCAAACGGCAACGCATATCATGCCAAAGATTTGTTCCAAATTGGACCGAGAGATGTTAAGCCCCCCCCACCGCCCTTCTCCGCTACACGTGGGCAGGGCCAATGCGTGAATGCTTTGAACCTCAGACGACGCTGTCCACCCGTATATGCTAAATCCTGCTGATGCCCTTGATTGGATCCGTACAAATAGTGCCACATGTGGATACCGAATGCACAAGTCTAAAAGAAAAAAATGCCACCCCTGTGTGCGACTGTGGCTATGAACACCAACACCATGGACCACGTTACTGCACACTGCCCCAAATATACATGTGAAGGTGTTGAGTGGGTGGGTGGGTGAGTTTATGGAGTGGTGTATTTGCAATTTGCCAAATCTGAGACGAAGCAATTGAATGGCTCAACATCTTACAACGGAGCCTCCAGTGGTTCCTCTTTACTTGGCCATACGGAATCGGCAGCTCACCGTCCTGCCGATGTAAGCAAGAGAAAAGCTCGCGATGACAACACGCGACGGGTAATGCGTTATTATTGTACTCGGCCAGCTTAAGAGCAGTCATGAGTAATCTCACGTTGTCTGATCTGAACTCTCAGCATGGTGATCTGATCCCAAGGCCGGTGACTTAAAGCACGTAGGCGTTTGCGACCGATCTTGTGATTCACGATCGATGACATACGTCAATCGGCGTGTTACGCACGCAATCCGAGCCAAAAAAAATTAAAGTATGAGATCATAGCATTCCGGTTAATTACTCCGACGGACATTGGTAAACAACAACAATAACAACAAGGAGACGTCTTGCGTCTGTCGGCAAACATGGGGACACTGCAGAGTGACGGCATCGTCTAGAAGACGACGCCGTAGTCAGGACGACTGTCCCTGCCGTTCGCAGGCTTCTAATAAACACCGGGGGAGCGCCTCGCACGGCAACAGCAACAACAACGACGATTCCTCAACGCCACTAACACACGGCCGACTGTAATCATGATAAACATGTTTGCTTTGGCGAGGAAAAATTAGGCAATTCCTTACATGTTTTTTTTTATTAATCACAACTGTATTATTTTTCGATTTAAAGCTTTCGTGACTGCAGGGATTCATCTTCTTGGTTCTTTCGGTAAAGTCACGTGACTTTACCGAAAGAACCAAGAAGATGAACTGTAGTATTGTTGTTATGAACTTGATATCATTGTAGCAATCATCATAAGAATCTTTATTGTTATAATCATCATTAACGTCACAATTGTCAGTACAATACATTTGTTACAGCGATCATCATATTCGTCACCATTTCCGTAATCAGAACACATTATACAGAAACTTCGTAAGAGCACAGTTCGGTTATAAGCCAACACATGCTTACATTAGACTTGTGGAGGGATGCCCGAGACGTGTGCATCGACCGAGCTTCCACTGTCATCATCGTGACCATCATCGCCATTATTTTATATCATCATTTCGAGCAACTGTGCGTTTATCTCTCTGACACATTTTCAGGTTGCACCTCGTGCTGCTCGGCACGACGTCCGACGTTTCGCACCGCAGTCCACGGTGTGTAAAGAAGCTCCCGGGCCGCGAAATCCCGCGCGGCGCTGTAACCGTGTTTTTCTTTTTCTCTCATCCCCTTCCCTCCCCCCTCTGCCCCCTCCCCACCATTTGCCGTTGCAGGGTTTCTCAGCACTGGCGACCAGGCAGCCAAAGGAAATTACGGGCTGCTAGATCAGATCCAGGCCCTGCGCTGGATCAGCGAGAACATTGGCTTTTTCGGGGGCGACCCGCTCCGCATTACAGTGTTCGGTTCAGGCGCGGGTGCGTCCTGCGTCAATCTCCTTACCCTGTCCCACCACTCTGAAGGTAACCGATGGAGCAATTCCACCAAAGGTACTCAATTTAAAGCGGGACCGCTGATATCTTTTTGATCAATTTCGGTGTCTGCATGCTCACCACCCACACTCACCACCGCCATGCCCCCCCCCAACCACATCCGTGATGGTCGCGTGGTCTCGTGGCATGTTGTCGCTACCCACCCCCACCGCCCCCCACAGTGGCTCCCCGTGACCGCGTGTCGTTACCCCCACCGCATGCCGCGTTACCCCCACCGCGCTCGACCCCCCGCCAGGGGTTCATTCGCGATGCGCGTCGCCGCATCCTCCACAGCGTGGGGCTGCCGCAAACCGTTGGGGAGTTGGCCCACGCCACCTGAATTCGCTTTGTCCTCGCAGAAACACATTTACGTTGGTTTTTTTTGGGGGGGGGGGGGGAGGCGGTTAGGGCGGTTTAGCGATCGGGGTGTACCACCGCTCCGTCGATTACCGATGCGAGGCTGTTGCGTCACTGTTTGCTGTGTTGCCACAGTGGGGGGGGGGGGGGGGGGGTAACAATGGTTAGCACCTCGCTGACTCGCAATCACGAGGTCGCCCGTTCGATTCGATGCCCCGGCGGTGGCGGTGGTAACAACCCAGCGGTGTGAAGGGGCACGCCCACGACAACGAGTCGATCGGTGGGGTGCGTGTGGTAGAGTAAAGTGTGCGTTCTCCCACACTGAGCAGCGTGAAAGAGTAGGCCAAACGCCCTTTAGCGGAGCTCTCTGTAGCTGACTGAAGTGGAGGCTCCTACTGCCAGCGAGTGGCGTGAGCTTGCACTTGCAGTGCTGCGCCTCTGCCTCGGGCAACTGATGCTGTTGTTGCATTTAGACGATAAAAGACAAAACTCGATTTGATTCAACAATTTTCTCTTCAACAAGCGCGATGAATGGCGGCGCCTCTAGTGGCTGCCGAGATGAGCTGAACCCGTGTTACGCAACAACAGATCAGACATTGAAGACGTTGAATCTTACACGCGCGATGCAGCGCTAAATCATCGTGAGCATAAAGATCGACTCCCAATTGATGAATCGACACGCCGTTCCATTGCAAGAATTGACCAAATAAGCCCCTTGCATGGCATTGCAAGGCTTCTATTGTACAAAGGGCTAAAGGCGCTTGCAATAACCCCGGGGGGACTCCATCGCTGACCCAGATACGACAGCGAAACAGGCGAACATTCACAAAGTCAACGTCAACGAGTCCAAGACCTCTCATTCACCCTGCCGTTTCTATGGCAGCATCACGCTAATTGACCCATTTGGAGTCGTGTATTGAGCCACGCCGTCGTATCCGTGATCACTGCCCCGGCTAATGCTGTCGCATGAACTGCATGAATTCACTTTGTGTTATTAGAAGGCATCCTCGTTCATTCTCCACGAATGCATTTGAAGCACCGCACACACATTGACATGGCGACGTGTCCACGACAATTGAATTCAAGAGAGACCGAAGCCTTTACGACTCTTTTAACAGTTTCCGATAGCGACGTTTGATGTTTTTGTTATATATCAATGTAAAATATAAAATATCCCCGACGTCTTCCGAGCATATGCACCGTGCCTCGGATGTCTGAACTCGAGGCGCCGCACGCTGTGGTTGAACTTCACCGGTGATGATGTTGTGGTTGAACTTCACCGGTGAGGATGTTGTGGTTGAACTTCACCGGTGAGGATGTTGTGGTTGAACTTCACCGGTGAGGATGCTGCGGTTGAACTTCACTGGTGAGGATGTTGTGGTTGAACTTCACCGGTGAGGATGTTGTGGTTGAACTTCACCGGTGATGATGTTGTGGTTGAACTTCACCGGTGAGGATGTTGTGGTTGAACTTCACCGGTGAGGATGCTGCGGTTGAACTTCACTGGTGAGGATGTTGTGGTTGAACTTCACCGGTGAGGATGTTGTGGTTGAACTTCACTGGTGAGGATGTTGTGGTTGAACTTCACCGGTGAGGATGTTGTGGTTGAACTTCACCGGTGAGGATGCTGCGGTTGAACTTCACTGGTGAGGATGTTGTGGTTGAACTTCACTGGTGAGGATGTTGTGGTTGAACTTCACTGGTGAGGATGTTGTGGTTGAACTTCACCGGTGAGGATGTTGTGGTTGAACTTCACTGGTGAGGATGTTGTGGTTGAACTTCACCGGTGAGGATGTTGTGGTTGAACTTCACTGGTGAGGATGTTGTGGTTGAACTTCACTGGTGAGGATGTTGTGGTTGAACTTCACCGGTGAGGATGCTGCGGTTGAACTTCACTGGTGAGGATGTTGTGGTTGAACTTCACTGGTGAGGATGTTGTGGTTGAACTTCACTGGTGAGGATGTTGTGGTTGAACTTCACTGGTGAGGATGTTGTGGTTGAACTTCACCGGTGAGGATGTTGTGGTTGAACTTCACCGGTGAGGATGTTGCGGTTGATTTTCACCGGTGAGGATGCTGCGGTTGAACTTCACTGGTGAGGATGTTGTGGTTGAACTTCACCGGTGAGGATGTTGTGGTTAAACTTCACCGGTGATGATGTTGTGGTTGAACTTCACCGGTGAGGATGCTGCGGTTGAACTTCACCGGTGAGGATGTTGTGGTTGAACTTCACCGGTGAGGATGTTGTGGTTGAACTTCACCGGTGATGATGTTGTGGTTGAACTTCACCGGTGAGGATGCTGCGGTTGAACTTCACCGGTGAGGATGTTGCGGTTGAACTTCACCGGTGAGGATGTTGCGGTTGATTTTCACCGGTGAGGATGCTGCGGTTGAACTTCACCGGTGAGGATGTTGTGGTTGAACTTCACCGGTGAGGATGTTGTGGTTGAACTTCACCGGTGAGGATGTTGTGGTTGAACTTCACGGTGAGGATGTTGTGGTTGAACTTCACCGGTGAGGATGTTGCGGTTGAACTTCACCGGTGAGGATGTTGCGGTTGATTTTCACCGGTGAGGATGCTGCGGTTGAACTTCACCGGTGAGGATGTTGTGGTTGAACTTCACCGGTGAGGATGTTGTGGTTGAACTTCACCGGTGATGATGTTGTGGTTGAACTTCACCGGTGAAGATGCTGTGGTTGAGCTTCACCGGTGAGGATGCTATGTTCGCGTGGAATGGAGAAAGTCTCCTTGTTATTTTTGTTTGTCAGTGGCCCAGTGCGGACGTAACCACGATCTCCCGTCATCAACTCGCGTCGTCAGCAGCAGCGATGTGAGCGAGCGAGTGGGCGAACAGGCAAGGGCAGAGAATTGGGGGGGGGGTGGGGAGGTTTAGTGGGGGGGTGGGGGGGGGGTGGTTCAGGTCCCAGGATGGTTCGCCGTGGAGAGTTCGGTGTTTGCGTGCCGAGCTACTCAAGGTGGGTGCCGAGTGCTCACGTAGTGAGAGAGAGCGTAGCCCCCCCCCCCCCGCCTCTTGTGGCGCTCGTCACGGCGCGTGCCTTTGAGCTGTCGCGGCGCTGTCGTGCGGCTGTCTGCTGCTGCTCGCGCTGGTGCTTTAACTCGGAGGTCACGACTAACGCTCCTGTCTCACCGGCACCTCCACTTCAGGGTGACGCGCATGCCTCTGCTTTATCTCAATACTAGCTGTACTACCCGGCTTCGCCCGGGACTTGTATCCACCACGGCCGGCCGCCTTTGTCTCCCCAGTGGCGATGTTAATACGCCACAGCAGTTACTCGTTTGAGGCAGAGTCGACCTAGGGGAGGTTCAAATAATCGTCACCGGTAGTGGCCGTGAGCGGGAATCGAACTGGGTTCGCCGGGTTGGTAGCGCAGCGTAGCGTTAAGCACTACACCCACCGCTCCTCACACACCACACACGCACAGACACACACACAGACACACACATAGACACACGCAGACACACACAGACAGACACACACACAGACAGCACGCTAACCACTACACTACCGCTCCCCACACACCACACACGCACACACACAGACACACACACAGACACACACACAGACAGCACGCTAACCACTACACTACCGTTCCCCCTACACAACACACGCGCGCGCGTCCATAGGTACACATACACTCGCTTGCTGCAGACACACACATACACACACATACATACACGCAGACACACACATACACACAAACACACATACATACACACAAACACATACACAGTGACATGCGTATTCCCATCGCGGGGCACGGGACGTGCCTCCCGGCAAATCCCTCGCAAGCGATCGTACACAGATGGACAGACAACTGAACAGTACGACGTTTGGCTGGTAATTGCATCCAGCATCAGCGAAAGGACGTACTCTGAAATGGGAATTGTTGTGGTTTTACGCTTGTACACACCGGTGGGCCAAAGCAGAGACTTATGAATGTTTTATCAACGGGACACTTTTTGACTGATTGGCCGTGTGGGGTGGTGGAGGGTTACAACACATTAATAATTAAGGCGAGCGAAAGGCAATAAAGTTATTTTTGAAGAATGGTTGCGAAAGCGTACGTGTTACAAAAAGACTCACTTTACTTAAGAAGCAGGCTAATGTGTACATGATAGACTGTCAGTACAGCCACCCAGAAATATAACCAGGCTACACTGTACATTCTAGAGTGGCAGTACGCTCAGCCAGCTTAATGAGTATTTGTTGAGTGAACATTTAAACAAATCCATTATTGGCGCGTGTGGTTTAAACATAATTATACAGTAGTTTTTTCATGAGAAATGGTAATTGTTGTGGTTTTCCGCTTAAACACACCGGTGGGCTAAAGCAGTCAAGTCTTATTTTTTTATGAACGTGACAATTTTGTGCAGATTGGGCGTGTCGGGTGGTGGATAAGGGTGACAACGCCTTAATAAATAAGGCGATCTAAACGCAATAACGTTGTTTATGAATAATGTTTGCGAAAGCGTACGTGTTACAAATTGACTAACTTTACTTCCTAACCAGGCTAATGTGTACATGATAGACTGGCAGTACACCCAGCCAGCTGAATAAGCAGGCAGCAGTCTACATAATAGACGGGCAGTACGCTAAAGCAGCTTAATGACTA